TTGGCAAGGATGTTTTGGGTTTGTTTTCATGGGAGGAGAGAGGAAGAACTCGTAATGTTCTTGATCTGAGGTCAAGATAGATTGTATTCATTGTAATGGCACACACAGCTTGTGCTGGTTTTCATCAGCTTTGTCTTTTTTATATTTCAAGGCACAGTATAGAAGTCTTTAGATTTAAAAAGTGACATAACTACAAGTGATGTGCACCTGATAGAACCAAGATTCATTCAAAGTTGAGGGGAAAAATCCTCTGTAAATCGCACTGTGGAATGATTTCACTCACACAAAAGGCAGAATTTATCTTGGCTACAGTGGTGTGAATACCAAATAAACCCCAGAAACATAAAAGATAAGGCTCCAGATATTCAGCAGTGTAGCTGAGATGTTGTCTGTTCCAGAATGTCAAATGATTAACTCTCTGCAAAGCATTTCTGAGCTATTTAAATTACTGACTTCATCTACTGGAAAAAGTAATAGATGGGCATTCAAGAGGCGAGATGTTTGCTGTAGGATTAAGTGATGTTCTCGCCGATTTCAATAGCAAAACTGGAAGAAGAGGTAGAGCAAGTCTTTATGGTGCAATTTGCTTTTCATCACACTACGAAGACTTCTTACCATGCAGGCAGTAAACATGATCCCTTTTCCTGCATGTGTTTACTTTTGGCAAATAAACTGCTGTGATGCAGACAGCCTTCTTTCTTGTGATGGGTTCTGTTTAAACACAGCATAAAAATTAAAAGAGGAATAACTTGCCAGAATATTTTGTGACCCTGTATGTTTTCTGTCTTTTCATAACTAGTAATTTTATGTAATACCTGGCTCTGAAACAGCATTCTATGCCAGCTGTGCCTTGTGGTGTCCACCTCAAGTCCATCTCCACCAGTGGAGTCTACCTCCTCTTTGAGGGGCGGTGGCATTGTCTCAGCATGGAAAATTCCAGAAAAAAACCCCAAAGCTAGCATTCTTTCCTTTCCTTTGTTTTGTTTTATTTTTTTAATCTACTGGGGGCAGTGAGCCTTTTGGCAGGGCCACTGGAGTGAGGACAAGGGGAAATGGCTTTGTGGGCCATGATGGAGGGCATATTGCATGCGATGGCAGGACAGTATTAGGAGGATGTTACTGAGTCATTTGGACGACAAAACATTGGGTTTAGGTTAGACTGAGGTAGAACTATGGAGAGTCTCTGAATGAGAGCCAGATGATGAAACTGGATATGGTAAAAAGCGACGAGCTAGCTAGCAAGGACCCTCAGAAAGAGCATTGCCAGAGGAGAGAGGTGGAGAAGGCAGTTTTCTTGCTGTTGTAGAACTAGTATTTAGTTACGGTAATAGTATTGTGTATTTGTACATCACCTTGCTGAAAGCATGTGCTTCTCTATTACCCTTTCCTCTCCAGATATTTAGATGCTTCATCTTAGAGAAATGTGTGTTGTTGACTTTTGGGGAATTTTTTGATATTCAGACTTCTGAAACCTAATACCGATATTTTTCCTTTGAGTACTGCATGACAAGAAACAGTAAGGCCATTAGCACATGGGCTAGAGGAGCAGCTCTGCGGTCCTCCAGAAGGGCAGCGTGCCCCAGCAGAGCATCCTGTTTTCCACATGCGTGGCAGTGTCCAAGTGGAGATCAACGAGCCAGCTCTCTTAAGAGTTATTGCAAATACTTGTCCAAGTCACGCAGTGACTGGAACAGGCCATAGGTCGGATGCAAAGGTGCTGATTTTGTTTTCTTTTTTAAAAGTAAATATTTACAATTGTTATTGTGAAATCCCAACCAAGTTAAAAAAAAAAAAAAAAAAAGGGGCAAGCAAGCTATATCTTGATCAAAGTGCGCTGCTGTGCGCTTCCCCTTCAGCGCACTGCTGGTACCCTGGCAAGCTGCCTGAAGGAGCCAGCGACCGCCGGCAGCTCGGGTTGCAGTTTGTACACCTGACGTGTAGCTGAGGGCCAGGGACGCCTGCTCGGCGTGGGAACGGCTTTGCAAAGCCACCATCCTTGGCCTTACAGTACTTAATTAAAATACCTCATCTAGGGGCTGTTTATTATGGCAGCGCCAACCTGTGTGTTGTGCTTTTTGTTTTTCCTCTCTCCCCCCCACTCCCTGATGTGTTGCATGCAATCAGTGAGGCACCGCATGGGTTGCTGCTCTTAGACACTGACAACTGAGGAAATTAAATTCTGAGGCGGAATCAGTTAAAAGCCTGACTAAATCAGTGTTGTTTTTCTATGGCAACTGAAACAACATAATTATTTAAAGGATAAATTTTTATTGCTAATGAATTTTTTTCAAGACAGTAAGGTTTTTTGCATTTGTTTATATGAGGACCCTCTTAAATACATTTCGGGATTTTTAATATTTTTTTTTAACAAGCAATTAATTCAGTAGGATACTATCAGATAAATGCAGTGATAAATTGCAGTTCCAGCTTTGTGTAAAGTAATATGTCTTTCAGGTACTTGGCACTGTTTTATTGTTTTGTGCAAGAAAAAAAATCTGTATTTCTATGGTTATTCATACTTGAAAAAGCTCATCATATTTGTAAAATCTGTAGTGACAAGTCTGGACTTAAAAACTTAAGACAATGGAGCATTTGCTTATACTGTTTAAAGAACTCTTTTGACTATACTAGACAAAATTTTCCATTTTTGTTCCGGTAAGCTAATTAAAAGAAAACCATAAGGATGGTCTGACCTTACAGGTGCTTACGGACACATTTTCGTTTGTTTTGCCTCTCTCCTTCAATGTGTCTACCTATAAGTGAAGCACAGGCAAAAGTTGTTACAGATTTGGGTCTTACTGTACAGAGTTTTTAGAAAAATTAAAAGGATGCCCTGAAAGTACAGGAAAACCTATGGAAATCCATTATTGCAATGATTGCTGCTTCTCCCCACTGTTCTGTTATCTTTTCCTTTATATACCATATTGTATATTAAGTTTTATAGAGCACTGATTGTTGTTTTATAAAAGCATGCTCCTTGTTATCACTGGAAGTAGTGATATCCTTAGTAGATGTCGTACAGTCTCAAATGATGTTTTCTTTAGAAGGAAAAAATCCTGTTTGGGAGAAAATCATCCCCTCTTAAGGGGGCTTACAAGAGGGGGTTATTATGGCAGAAATTGTTGGTATCAGTGTTTAGAATTGTATATTTTCTCATCCTATGACTGCATATTTGTATTTACAATAGAGTTTTCTGTTGCATTTGCTTAAAAAAAACCCCACTGAGCTAAAAAGTTTGAAGGAACAGCTTGAGGAATTTTTTCCATCAAGATACAATCAAGGGCAGGAAATCATAGAAGCAGAGTTGTGGTTTTGCCTCCATTTTTTTATTAGTTAATTAAACTATAACAACTCTTAACTTCATTTTAGGTAACTGTTCCTAGAGTTCAGAAATATTTTAAGAGGTCAATAATGCTTTCTTTGGCTTTTGCTCATTCGGTGTGGGATAAGGAGTCACAGTCAGCAGGGCAGAGTTTTCCAGATGTGCTGCAGAGCGTGTGTGCGTGTGCTCATGTCGACAGTTGTTGACGGTGGGAAACCATCCATCTTTCCTCATCTGCGCACCACCCTGTATGGACAAAAACCACAGGAAAGAAATGTGGATAGCCTGACATCTGTAAGCGAACTTACAGTATCTGATTAAAGCTCAGGAGCCCTGAGTACTTGCAGCTACCAGTTGACATGCGTTTGGACTCAATGACGGAGAGGTGCCGAGTCTGAGCGAGAGTACGAGGGGGGGGGAAATCCAAAGGGAAAAGTTAGAGATGATAGCTGTATATTTAGTTTCGCTAGAAGCAAAAAAACCCCAAAGACCCAGCTGTACATTGCAGTATGGGTTTTCTTTGCGAAGTCGGGATGTTTCTTTTTTAAAGCGCCGTAAGGCATCTGTCTGCATTTTCCTCTCAGAGTGCAGAGCTGCTTAGAGGCATGCACTTAAAGGGCATATGAGGGAAGCAAATAGAGCCATGCAAATGTCACATAACTGTCTTTAATAACAGGAGCTATTCCAGCACTCGGAGCCAAATAGTCTTTCAGCAGAAAGGATAAAATTTAGCAGAGCTGGGAAGGGAAAAAAAGAAAGGGGAGGGGAAACACAGCACCACCTCCTGCTGACACCACAGAAGTTTCCCCTCAGCTTTCCCTCTCTCTCTCTTTGTGCATATATTTTCCTTTTAATCAGCTGGGGCTCTTCCCTCCCCTGCTTTTTTTTTATTATTTTTACTGTATTCTTATAGTTGGAATTCTGCTTTCCTAATTTCTCTTGTTTCACATTTAAATTCTTCAGAGAATTCCATTAATAGTTATTGCAATTAAAAATAATAAATAAACTCAGCACCAGCTGCTCAAATGGCTGTCGTAGCATATCTGGAACATAATGCGGTCTGTTCAGGGCAGCCACACAATGCAATTTATCCCCACACCTGAGGGAATGAATTTCACAACTATAATTGCTACAATATAATTCTTATTAATGTTGTGCTATAATTCCTATTAATTCCAAAGGGCTAGTAAATGCATTAGGACTTGTCAACATATTATTTTACACTGTTTATGATCTGTAGAATTATGCTCTTCAGTATTGTATTGCATAAAGAAAAGCCTTAAAA